AAGAACTGTAAACAGAAAATAGATATTCCGCGTCTGTGGATAGCAGTTCACATACATTTACCATTTTTCTGACATAGACATAAATAACGGTAATTAGGAGTTTAGGGTTCATAATCCAAGATGAAAACGTAAAAATTCTGGATTTGAATACCTATTTCTTCTACTACGGACCACGCATTTCATTGGTGTATTTAATCGCTGCAATTTAACATTTTGGATAGAAATTTGATGTAATTAAGCCCTTAAAAGATGATAATTCAGCATAATAATACCTGGAAGGTGATGATGTTGCGAGAGACAATCACCCGCCCTGCGAGAGACAATCACCGGCGAGGGACGGCGATGACGACAACCCGAGGGGATGATGCTGCTCGGCGCGATGAAGACACTATGCAGGGACGTCAAAGCAGCGAAGGAAGAAGGGCGGGGAAATGGGGGAAACCTAGCGAAAGAGAGAGAATTTTTTTTTTGGGTGGAGGGAATTTTTTTGGGAGGTGGGATTGTGTGGGGGGGGGGGGGGTATGGAGTATATGGGGGACATCCGGTGTACATATCCGGTGTCCCCATAGACTTATCCTTTATTTAAACCTTCTTCATCTAGAATTTTAGTCTTTCATTTTCCATTGGTTAGGGTTGACTCTATCAGCTCGTTCCCTTGAGTTTCAAGATTCGATCTCGGATCCCCCGTGATTGATCTTGCCTCTGTACCCTCAATTGATCGATCTGTTTGCGATGAATTTTAGTTTTTAAATAACTATAAAAGAAATAAATTATTAAGAAGATATTTTCCTTTATACCAATCAACAACAATTATTTGGAAACTAATTTTCCATGGAAATCATTATTTTTTGAAAAATAGTTTTCTAGAAAAAAAGATTTTCCCCTAACCAAACACAACCTAATTTCTAGTTTTTTTCAACGTTTTCCCATTTTTTCAAAATTTTTTGAGATTTTTATATCTACTCTCGTTGCTTTGAACAATGATTTTAAAAAATAGTTATTTGCACATGTAAACAAGTTTTTTTATCCAAGAATAGTTTTTTATATTTATTTGATAGATTATTTTATTGTTAATTTTTTTTAGTAAAATTTTCATTAAACTTACTGCCGCGTAAAGTGTTTTTTACAACTACCGAAAATATTTAATGTTATCAACAAGAAGCCAAGAATTGTGTTTACGCATTTTGTCTTTTTATTTTCTTAAAAAAAGAAGAAAAAAATATAATCTTTAAGAAGGCTTGGAAAATGAGTTCTTTACCCCGAATTGAGATCAAGAAGGCTCTTGCACCCTTGTCTACTACTCCGAGATAATGTTGGTAGTTGAATCCAAATCTCTCAACCTTGTTTTCATTCCCTCAATTGACATCTTGCTCTTGAATTCCACCACATGTGTGTATAATTCCAAGCATTTTGCCATTTTTCACGTCCCCAACACTCTAACCTTCTCGGGTTTTGAGGCAGACATGCTTAATATCCAGAACCCCGCTGGTGGGGAGAGCTTCCTCCTCTCTCTAGAAACCTAACTCCATCTCTATATATCTATATTCAAACACTCATTTATGAGATCTTAAGAGGAGGGGTTTGATTTGTAAAGTTCTAACTACTTTCAATCAGTCATTCATTAAGAAAAAAACGAGGACAAAAAACAAAACAAAAGATACACTATGTATTCAAACAAAAACAAGATCAGTAACACTAAGGCTCCAATGCAGCTTCTAAACCGTCCCCATCATCCCCTTGTTCTAAAAATTAGGCTCTATTTGATTATAATGTTTAAGTGGTATATACAATGAGGTGATTACATCTTGCTAATTAAGTTAATGGCTTGAATTTGTGTACTACCAATAACGCACAATTTGTCTCTAATTGATAAAGAATATAATAATGATGAAATATGAACTTACGCATCTCTTTTGTAGAAGACAATTAATGACCACGATTGTTCAGGTTTGTTCTTTTAATAATCATAAACGTGTCGGAACTCGAAGGATGCATATTGTAGCTCCTATGCACATCAAGACCAAACCCCCATTTGTTCTCGTACATCGGGTAATCGTGGAATATGAATGACAAAACTCTACTTACGACCAGTCCATTATCGAGCATTGTCTTTCTTATGCACAGTTTGTTGTAAGGATGCCTAACTTTATTTGTTAAATGAATCTGTCCGTCTTCATTCAACAAACATTTTGCATTTGCTAAAAAGCTACTAATCAACTTTTGATTAGCCTTGCATTAATAGAAAGATCATTAAAAATTGATTGATAATGCGCTCATTGAACTTTGAATAGGGGAAGAGCTTCATAACATTAATCTAAAGATAATTAATATTTGATTGATAACTGAAAAGGTTTTCATAAGAATTTACTTTATAACATGCTCATTGAATTTAAATTGGGGAAGGGCTCTTCAGCATACGGCTAATTAAAGATTATAATATCGTAGATTTGATTGTTCACTCTATAGTCTATCGCCATTTCTCTACCATCCACTGAACACTCGGCTCTAGCACCCCTCTTTATAAGACCGCACAAGTAGTTTCGTGCGTGTTTATACATCGTTTCCAGTTCATCTGTTAATTGGGTTTGATTAATGTTAGTATGCAAAATAAAAAAACATTCGTATAAAATGATATAGATTAAGTAATCTATTGTTTTTACTGATGTTGTTGTGATCCCTCTGGCATCACCGATATTAGCATGGCATGCAAAATCGATGATGCTAGAGGGATCAAAACAACATCGTTAAATACTATAGGTTATTTGTTCTATGTTTTTTATACCAATGCTTATTTTCTTATTTTGTATACTAACATAAATTAAACCTAATTAACAGATAAACTGGAAACGATGTATAGACAAGCACGAAACCACTTGTGCGGTCTTATAAAGAGGGGTGCTAAGATAGTTCTCTCGGTGGATGGTAAAGAAATGGAGACAGACTATAGAGTGAACAATCAACTCTACGATATTGTAATCTTTAATCAGCCATATGCTAAAGAGCACTTCCCCTATTCACAGTTCAATGAGCGTGTTATAAAGTAAATTCTTATTAAAACCATTTCAGTTGTCAATCAAATGTTAATTATCTTTGGATTAATGTTATGGAGCCCATCTCTTATTCAAAGTTCAATCATTATCAATAAATTGTTAATGATCTATCTATTAATGCAGGGCTAATCAAGAGTAGATTAGTAGCTTTTTAACCAATGCAAAATGTTTGTTGAATGAAAATAGACAAGACGGACCGATTCATTTAACGAACAAAGTTGGGTCTCCTTACGACAAATTGTGCATGCCAAAGATAGCGCTCGATAATGGACTGATCGTAAGTAGAGTTTTGCTATTCTAATTACCCGATGTACGAGAACAAACGGGGGTTTGGTCTTGATGCTGATAGGAGCTACAATATGCAACCTTTCGAGTTCTGACACATTTATGATGATTAAAAAGACAAACTGAACAATCGTGGTCATTATTTGTCTTCTACAAAAGAGATGTGTAAGTTCATATTTCATCATTATTATACTCCTTATCAATTAGACGCAAATTGTGCATTATTGGTGATATACAAGTTCAAACCATTACTTTAATTAGTAGGATATAATCACCTTTTTGTCTATACCATTCAAGCATTATTATCAAATAGAGCCCAATTTTAGAACAAGGGAGTGATGGGGATTGGCTTAGTGTATCTTGTGTTTTGTTACTCGTTTTTCTTTTCTTGATGAATGATTGATTGAAAGTAGTTAGAATTTTACAGATCAGGTCCCTCTTATTATCTTATAAATGAGAGCTTGAATATGGATATATAGAGATGGAGTTAAGTTTCTATAGAGAGGAGGACGCTCTCCCCACCGGCGGCATTTCGGATATTAAGCACGTCAGCCTTAAAACAAGAGAAGATTAAAGTAGAATAGAGTGTCGGGGGAGAAAAATGGCAGAATGCTTGGAATTGTACACAGAGGTGGAGGGATTCAAGAGGAAGATGTCAATTGAGCGAACGAAAATAAGGTTGAGAGATTTGGATTCAACTACCAACATTATCTCAGACCATACAAGTGTGCAGTCTGCAGGAGCCTTCTTGATCTCAATTCAGAGCATAGTTAGTAATATACGGCAAACGTATAATATGTAAATACGTACGTTTGTATATAATACGTTAAGATTTTATAAAATACGGCTTACTATGCATATTAAATGTTAGGCATACATATACGGATACGTATGGGTTTTAAACGTTTCATATTTTTAAAATACGTTTTATTATATGTTTATATATATTATCATATATACATCAACTTTACACATATTTATCGATGGATAGTCATCAACTTATATTCGGGTAAATAAACAAAATACAAAAATATTTTAAATGAAATATTTACAATTTTTTTTTTCAAATTAGAATCTCTATTTATTTAACATATTTAATTGAAAACTATATATAATCCCGTCATTTGAAAAAATATCCTTATTTGACTTTCACATATGTAGTTTTAAAAAATGTTAAAAATAAAAAATTTATAGTTTGAATATATTTAGAAAAAACAAATATGAGTAAATGTTATGAGTTACTCGTTCTTTTTTTAAAAAAAATAAATTTTTGAGACATACAGAAAAGAAAAGAGTGAAGTCCTTTTTTGAACATGACAAAAAAGTGCAAGTAGAATGTAGATAGTATATACTTTTTCAAATTGATTAAGTATTATATGTATAACTGATATAAAGTATTAATATTTGTTGTTGTACAAAAAAATTATAATGAAATATTCAATTAATACGTACTATACGTAATTATACGTATAGTATCAAAAATACGTGTATTTTAAAGTATTTTTAAAAATCATACGGATACGTGAGTATAATACGCGTATTATACGAACGTAAGTATAATACGTGTATTATACGCGTATTAACTAACTAGGATTCAGAGTAAGGAATTCATTTTCCAAGCCTTCTCGAAGATTAGATTTTTTTTCTTGTTTTTATAAAAATAAAAAGACAATGCATAAATGCAATATACAAGGTATGATTAACCATATAGAAAACAAGAGTGTATAAAACATTTATCGAGTGCTAGCTTTGGAATGCATAATTTGTCATAAGAGTGTCCAATCTTGATTGTTAAATAATTTACCTGTTCTCATTCAATAAACATTTTACATTTGCTAAAAATTGACCAATCAACTTTTGATTGACCTTACACTTTTGGAAATATTATTAACAATTGATTGATAATTATTGAAAAGGTTTAACTAAGAACTTACGTTATAATTTGCTCATAGAACGGTGGAAGAGATCCAAAATGTACGGTTGGTTATGGAGAATGCAATAGCGTAGAGTTTACCATTCACTCTGCTGTCTGTCGCGATTTTTGTGTCATTCATCGTGACAACTATCTTGACACTCGCTTTATAAGACAAGACAAGTTCGGATGTCTATACATCATTTTTAGTGCATCTGTTAATTGCATTTGATTGTTATTAGTGTGCAAAAATTAAGAGAAAAAATATCAACATAAAAAATATAGAATAGATAACATATACTCCATGATCTCTCTTGCGCCGCTGAGTTTGCTTGCTAGACTATTTGAAAATCCATAGCCCCCATGTCCAACTATTAGAATATATAGTTTGTTCAAGGGAATGTAACGTCATCCCAGTGCATGGTGTTTAAACAATTTCACCGCTTATTTTTCTATACAACTTTGGCCCCAGATAAACCTATGAAAACATTCAAATATGTGAGATTTGGACATTTTATTACTTGTATATATTGAGGGAATTGTAATTGAACAAAAAAAGTAAAGAAATCACCTTAAATAAGGATAAAACATAGAGAAAATATCAAAATAAGAGTCATGTTTTTTTTAAATAAGAATTTGCACTGTGATAATGTGACACCGCATTGCCGATGTGGGATGAACAAGTCAACACGCCCCCCTCACACGAGGTGCAGATTACTGCGGGCGCGGCCCCAACATCAATGGCCCCTACAAACGAAGTGTCATTTTGTTTGGCACGGACAGGGCCGTGCCTATGCAATTACCAAAAACTGTCGTGTTTAATGTCTTCTATTAGGCACGGAAAAAGCCGTGCCTAGAATGGATATAACAAAAAAAGCCTGACACACGCAGAGATATTGAAATTTGGCACGACAACGGCCGTGCCTACACCGTTACCCAAGAATCCGATATTTACTACACGGTATAGGCACGGTTGGGGACGTGCTTACGTCCGTGCCTACGGTTTAATTATATATATTACCACCCCTTACATGTTTTTTCTCATTTTTTTCATTAACCACTCTCCTCCTCTTATCTCTTTCTTCGCCGACATCCCTCCTCCGCCCTCCTCCCTTCTCCGCCCTCCTCCCTCATGTTGGGTTTGTGGAGGCTTGGGCTTGACTTTTGGCCCGGCCCATTTTACGAAACCCTAGATGCACTCTTCCTATATATATTGCATTCTTGTACTTGTAATCTGCATCACAAAAGAAATAAGAAATTCCTCCTATTGCAGCCGTGGATTAGGGAAACCGAACCACGTTAAATTCTTGTGTGTCGTTTGTGTTCTGTTTCTCTCGTTTCTCGCAGATTATTTGTGTGTGTTGTGTGTTTAATTCCCAACAAGTGGTATCGGAGCCAGATTATTCACACGAGAACACAAATTGTGAGAAAAATTTGTCGCCTAGGGTTCTTGGGAACCGTACGTGCCAGCGCAATCCAGATCTTAGTCGCTGCTGTGAAGCCGCTGAGTGACCCGCGCACAGATTCGCCGGGAATCTCAGCCGTCAATCGCCGTCCAGCGCACAACCCATTCGCCGCCGAGGTCCCAGATCGCCGCCGCCGCTCGCTGAGTTCACCGCAGATATCCACTGTCCGGAGAGGGTGAGCAAACCACCGCCACCGTCGAAGTAGCTACACGCAGAGGAGCTCCGCCGCCGCCAGGTTGAGGAGCCGCCGCGAAGCTGTGCCGTTTCAGATCGTGCTGCTACCATCAGATCAGATCGCCGCCGCTGGAAAACTGAACGCGGCAGGAGCGTGATAGATCTGCCGCCGTCGTCCAGTCGAGAGCCTCCATCGTCCAGCGCGCAGAGTTCACCACCGCGAGCAGGTGTCGTCCGACCGCTCGCCGAGCCACCGCCGCCGTCCAGTGGGTCGCCATCGCCGTCCGAGCCGCCGCGCGCAGAAGCTTGCGCCGCCTTCTAATAGAAAAGAAAGGGTTTCTTTGGACTTTTGGCAGGTACAGATCGGCAGAAGAAAAAAAGGTACGAGAAAAGAAGGGCTAGTGAGCTATTCTTTTTTTTCCTCTTGGGCTGTAATTTTTCCTTGTTGCTGGATATTGGGCTGATTTGGTTTGGACATATTTAATTAGTGTGGTGGGCTTGATTTTCTGACGAAAAAAAATACCAAGATCTGAAATTAGTTGTACCGGGTATCTCGTCTAGTTGTGTGATATGACAGAAGACGGGAAGTTCCAAATTGAGAAGTTTGATGGTACATATTTCAGTTGGTGGAAGATGCAAATTGAAGATTTGCTGGTTCAGAAAGATTTGGACGTGGTATTGGGTGACAAGTCAGAAAAGATGTCGGATGCAGATTGGGCAGGTTTGGATCGGAAAGCGATGTCCGTGATCCGTCTCTCGTTGACCAAGAATGTTGCGTTCAACATTCTGAAGGAGAAGACAGCGAAGGGAATTATGGACGCGCTATCTAACATGTACGAGAAGCCATCTGCAGCGAACAAAGTTTTTCTGATAAGAGAGCTGGTGAACACAAAAATGAAAAATGGCACTTCAGTTACCGAGCATACCAACAAGTTGAATTCGATCTTAGCCAGACTTTTGTCAGTTGGCATTAAGTTCGATGATAAAGTTCAAGCTTTACTACTGTTATCGTCATTGCCTGACACTTGGTCCGGAACTGTTACAGCAGTTACCAGTTCAGCGGGACCTGAAGGATTCACTTTTGAGAAGATTCGTGACCTTGTTCTTGGCGAAGATGTCAGAAGAAGGAGTTCTGGTGAGTCTTCAGAAGAATCACTAAATATCGTCAGAGGCAGAGGAAATAACAGAGGTAGTGGGAGCAAGAACAGACGAAGGAGTCGATCGAAGACTCGGGATAGCTCAGGCGTAACATGCTGGAAGTGCAAGGAGGTGGGGCATTTCAGGAATCAGTGCCCGAAAGAGGATAAGCAAGTGAACATTGCTAGAGGCTCCGCGAGCGACGAGGATTTGTTTATCTGTTGTGCGGAGAGCAGTGTAGATTCCTGGGTCATGGATTCTGGTGCTTCATTTCATGCTACCCACAGCGGTGAAGCATTGCAGAATCTAGTTGTTGGGGACTTTGGAAAGGTACGACTAGCAGACGACGGAGCTCTTGATGTGACGGGCATGGGTGACATAGTGCTGAAGACCCCTGTCGGTTTCTGGACTTTGAAGGATGTCAGAGTGGTTCCAGCCTTGAAGAAAAGTTTGATTTCTGTTAGG